GGCTGTGAAAGCGCCCCGTTAGGAGACAAGAAACAGATTTCTTGTCTTGTGCGCAAAAATATCAGTATTTTCAGTTGCTTAAAGATAGAGAGCAAAAGTTAGGAATTGTGATCGAACTGAGCGAATCGTTCAAATCCGAAAACGACCAACTGCGACAGCAGGAAGAACAGTTGAAAGCAACCGTAGAAGAAATCGCCAGAAAATCAAAAGTAAAGGAAGAGGAGTTGAGAAGAGACTTCAGCGACCAAATCGGATTACTCATAGAAAATACAACTGGGTAAGGGGATATTCTTCGTTGCGACCGTGGCTCCTACAGGATCCCACACATCATTGCACTTTACTTAGCCTAGAAATAATACGTATGGATTCATCTGTTCCCCGAAACTTGTTTTAGGAACACTTGGGAGGATATACAGCAGACGTATAAGCTTTCAAGAGAAAAAGAACTACTTGAAAGTGATGCTCGTGTCCAGCAACTGTTGATGGAAATCAGAAAGATTCAAATGTCTTCTGATGAGCAGATCGAGTCGTTAAAAACGGAGCTACGTGAGGAACGAGAGAAGCGAATTGAACTGGAGGCTGTAGCACAGAGGTTTGATTTTCCTCGTTGGTTCTGTGGAAAGTTTCCAAGACAAGTCCTTACCTATTTCAGGACCAGAGCTGACTTGGAAACCACCAGACACCTTGCTGTTACGAAACAGAACGAGTTGTTGGCAGTTCGAAGGTGAGAAGTATAATACTCATTCAAAGCACATTCCTCGATCTTAGTATGGGCTTGTCAGAGTTCCTTCTTCACTGGTGCGCGCCGTCCCTTAGGTATGTGACAGGACAACCGTAATATGCTGCGCTGATGGGCGCGGCGAACGATGCCATGCCGACAGACGAGTTGTCCTTCCTGGCAGTTTGAATTTGAGCGCTGAAGGGGTAGGGAAATTCGACATCACCCTTCATGGATTCTTGTCTGTGTGCAAATTCATACAAGTTCCGCTGCTTCAATGCAAAGATGTACATCGAGAAGTTGAGAAGAGACGCGCCCCGGTGCATCAACGCTACAAATTGCGAATGTCTCGTCTATGTCCCCCGTCCCTCCGAGGCATTAAAGAAGATCTGTGCACCAGTGAGGAAAGAGTAACGGCAGGCTTGGCTACGCCCGTACGAGCAGCGTTGAATAGGATCTCCAGCGTTCACGGCTTGTCGTTTTGCATTCGGTCTACTTTACTTACGAGTGATAGGTGTGCCAAATATATTTGTTTCACTACATGAGGTAAATCTCATTTGTGGATACACAAAACTGACTAGCAAAGGTTTGAGCAATCCAAAGTCAGGGTTATATTACACTGAGATAAAATAACACAAGTGTCACTAAAATTGAAAGCAGCCCGAAATCAGTAAGGGAGTAATGCTCAATCATATCCTCCAGAACCGCGACACCATCTCCTCCGAACCGCGACACCATGAGGAAATGATCTATTTCCTCAAGCTTGTGGTATTCAGCCGGAGTATGAGACACACTTCTCGGAGTCGCACACGACAACGCGTGCGACTTGTGAGACAAATGTTTATAATCGGATGACCGGGTGGCAGTATGTGAAAAGAACCAGAATGAGCAGGAAGGAACAGTGGGTCGGTAAGAAGGAAAGATTGTGAGCCCAGAAACTGAGGAATTTCCTTTTGTCTCAGGGCAACGAACAAGGACTCAGGGCTGCTTATAGGGCACAATGTACAGAGGCAGATAACATTCTGAGCAAATCAGGTAAGGAGCGAGAATTGACAGTACTATTTCCGCAGCTCTCCATAGATTTATAAATTTAACGAAATCACCTGTATCACCTGTGCTCCCGTTGATCATCGAGTTCCTCGAGCGGGCGCCAGTAACGTCTCCATTCGTCCCTGCAACGTGCAAGAGTTGCCCAATGAACTCTCTCTGCTCGAGGGACACGATGAACTTCATACCATTCGTTCAGAGCTTTCACGAAGAAGTGACCATCGCATAGGCGGTCTTCCAGGCGTTCGCTTGACATCCCGTGGAATCCAGTCGGTGATCGCTCTGGTCCAGCGGTCGTCCACGAAGCGCCATGCTGCCGGCCCACCTGAATCCGGCGAAACCTTGGCAAATGCGGCGGCGTCTCTGATCTTCGATCGTCGGCGGAGTGCGGAGCTCCGGATTCCCTCTCTCACTTGCGTGTAGCGGGAAACTCCGAGCATCGCCCTTTCGATGGCGCGTTGAATAACGCCAACCGCATGCTCATCCTGCTTTCGTAGAGTCCAAGTCTCTGAGCCATAAGTCAAAGTAGGAAGGGACCCCGGAATCGAAAAGGTGGGCACGGGCCGACCGTCGATCCTTCACTCCCATGTCTTCCCATTCCAGTTTGACGCATGAGGTTCTCGAGAGAGGGGCTGGAGCTTGGGCGAGATGGTGTCGCCCTGTCGTTGAACCCTCTCTCACTCTCGATGATGATTTCCTAACCGTGTTTCGTTAAATTACAGTAATAATTTAACGAAATTGGTCGGGTAAACTTGTTCAGAATCTAATAGTCATGGAACGTTTGACCGATTTATGGTCTGTAGCCGTCAGACTAAATTTCGCACATGCGTTCCCAGAATATCCAAATTTAGGCATTTTTTTTGATTACTGCATAACATTTTCATGTCCGAAGATAGCCGAGGCGACATTCATGCGAATTAGGCTGCGTTTATACTTTGCGGCAGCGTAGCGTAGCGTAGCGCAGCGTAGCGTAGCGCTTCCAGCGTACGCCAGCGGCAGTGCCGAAGAGAGGATGCATATCGATCTAGCTTCACCAGCGTCACCAGCGGCACGCTGGCGTACGCTAGCGGCACGCTAGCGTACGCCAGCGTTTCTCCAGCGTTTCACCAGCGTTTTGCTAGCGTTTGCAGCGGCAGGGGAGTAGAGACTATGGGAGAGCTGGAGGGTACAAAACACATCGATTGCGCGTCTCTCACTCGCCCTTAGTCTCTACAATGCACATCGCTTCTGCGTCTCCGACGGCCACATAGTCTCTACAATGCACATCGCTTCTGCGTCTCCGACGGCCACATAGTCTCTACAATGCACATCGCTTCTGCGTCTCCGACGGCCACATAGTCTCTACAATGCACATCGCTTCTGCGTCTCCGACGGCCACATAGTCTCTACAATGCACATCGCTTCTGCGTCTCCGACGCCACATAGTCTCTACAATGCACATCGCTTCTGCGTCTCCGACGGCCATATGGTCTCTACAATACACGTCGATTCCGCGTCTCTCACGGCCACATAGTCTCTACTCCCCTGCCGCTGCAAGCGCTAGCAAAACGCTGGTGAAACGCTGGAGAAACGCTGGCGTACGCTAGCGTACGCCAGCGTGCCGCTGGTGACGCTGGTGAAGCTAGATCGATATGCATCCTCTCTTCGGCACTGCCGCTGGCGTACGCTGGAAGCGCTACGCTACGCTACGCTACGCTGCGCTACGCTACGCTACGCTGCCGCAAAGTATAAACGCAGCCTTAGTGACATAACGTGTTAGCGCAACTGAACCGTCGGCTGAAGGAAAGCATGGAGGATGAGATCGCTTTTCTTTCTAAAGAGGAAGACTTCCGTAGAACCTTGTTGCAGCGGACGACATCTTTTGAGAAGAAAATTGCAGAGTATGAACGGATTGTTAGAGAAAAGGACGAGCAGATTGCTGGTATGTTATTGCTACGATTATAGTTAGTGGGTGGACCGTACCTCCTACAGATGATGAGGTTCACATGAAGGATTCCAGGATTTCCTCGAAGAAAAGCAGTAGCCTAGCACGTCCATTTTTTGTATTCTCTATGCGAACCTCATCTTGTAGAAGGGTCAAGGGGCTCAGTGCTTTTTGAGTGTTTGATCGCAGAGCCTGTCGAGAACGAATGATGTGCAGGGGCCCACTTGACGACGAGTAGTTAGTTGAGTATTTCCTAGCCAGATGAGTGAGCATATTGCAGCAATTCCACATTCAACTAGGTTCTAATGTGAATGCAGCTCACGTTACACCCCTTGTAGAGCCGTTTGCCGCACCGTTGTCACGTCTCTAGAGACAATGGAGCATTCATTTCATGCTACTCGTCTGGCAGCACCGCTTGCTGGAAGGCGGAGGAGTTACTGGAAAAAGGAAGGTACCTCTGAAAACTTGGCCCTTCACCTTACAACTTTCCACCGTGAAAATGGCACAAGGTTGTCCATTGCAGGCAACTTTATCCCTTCCACACCACCTTTTACACCTTCATAGGTCATCGCGGACCGTTCCAATGGCGCACACTGTGGTCTTTGAACAATCTTTCTTCAGAGAGTGCCGCCATAGGGAATCCTCGAGCTCTTCAAGAAAGGCAGAGCATAAAGAAACCCTTGTAGCCTTTTAGGCAGAAAAATGAAGAGAGGGAGAGAGAGCCTTCAACAGTGTAACCTGGGTCCCTAGCGCTTGCCTAACTTGTAAGTCACATTTGACTATTTTTGTCTGTTAAGTTCTTTTACTTCCAGAACTACGTAGTAATGTCGAACATTTGGAGAACCAGCATTGTACGGCAGTTACTGAAAGATTCCCGAAAGGGGCAGAGCACGAGGAGATACGCCGTTTGGAAAACGAGTTGAAGGTGACTGTTACGCGATTGTGTGTTAGATCTTCAAACCCTGTGATGGAGCGGCTGATAAGGAAGTGTTTACCACCAAACTTATCCATGAGTAAAAAAGCAAATAAAATCGCCGAAAGTGCCCCGAATTAGGCCCTCATTCGGCTATTGAAGAGGGGAGATTCGTTTGGGACGATTTTTTAAGACGATAGCCCAGACAAAGGTAGCGCAAGAGCATAAAAGCAAGCGACAAAAGCATCTGGTTTTGCGCTCAGAAGATACCACTTGATCAAGTTATTGTACCTTAGCGTCCCTACCTTATAACTTTCTGACACGACAAAGGCACAGAGTTGTGTATTCCTACATTAATTCCACCGCGGAAAGGCCCTGGTGTCGCTTCCTTTTCGACTGATGGCGTAAATTGTGCCTTAGCAGTTTTGCCAGATGTCAGTCTGACTGACAGTGAGCTCATATTCACTCTCTGATCTCGAATTTCCAGAACTTGTCTTCAACTTCGAAAACAGAGTTGAAGAGAAGAATAACGGCGGTTATTAAAAACGCAACCTGAGCCGGGAACGGAACAAGTTGGAGGTCACAATCACTGAGCTCAAGTAATTTCTTACAATGTTTTCTGGCGCTGCAAGTTCCTTAAGTGTACATATGAACAAAAGTGACCTCTTCATCAGGTTCCCAAAAAGCTTCGGTTCTGTGAGAGCTGCCCAATAATGGCCATTAAAACAGTACTTCATAGAAAAAAAAGAGTACTAGAGTAAGGGAAGAGTACCGTTCTTTCTGTGGGGGAGCTGCCTACTTGGGATCCACATCATAACTGTAAATTCCTCAGGAGGAGTGTCACGCTCTAATTTTTGTGGAGGGGCACGTACTTGGCATGGTAGAATACTTGTGAGTCCGGTCAGTTCTCGTGTGATCAGTTCTTTTTACTATGATAGTTGAAGTCGTAATCAGCGATATGCGGTTTTGATGGCTGGTTAGCGATTTTTGTCGCTCTCCTTATGTTAGGCATAGTGCGAGGGGGGGATGAAGGCCGGACATTTTTTACACGAATGAGTGCCTATGATGTGCCCTACGTGCATTTTAATGCCGTTGAGCTACGGCCGGCACAGCATGATTAGTAAGCTCTGAAAGAGTAGTAATCACATTACATTATTGTAATGAATGTGCTATGAGCCTCTGGTTAACCCGTTACTTCTTCAGTTGCTTTATTCAATTTTTCAGGAAAAACGCTGAAGCTTCTCCGTCAAGAACAGCCGAAATGAATCGCCTTAGGTCACTTTTGGAAGAGAAGGAAAAGAAACTGACTGCCTCGCGACGGCAGTACAGACAACTTCTCCGAAAAGTGGAGACCTCACTGGTTCACCTGGAGGAGCAGCAGCTGAAAACGAAAAAGAAACTAGAACAGAGCATCATCGGTAGTTGATATCGACATAAACAATAAGAGTGTCTCCCGAAGCCTGGATCAAAATGTATGTTTGTGTGCTGTGTGCGTGTGGAGGGGGAGGGAGGGAGGTCGGGCAGGCGGGAACACTTAGTTATTTCAGACTTGGTACAGTTTCACATGACCCTTCTCACCTCGTGTGTGGTCCTGGGACAGAACCACCGATCGAATTCTGACTAGGCTAAAGGATCCCACCCTAAGGGGTTTGCAGAAGGCTTGCCTGATGGGATTAGGCATTAACTCAAACAAGACCTGACTTCCAAACCACTGCTTAGATCCGTTCACATTCCATTTCTTCCCGAATTGGATAGATAATGTATAGCGCATTCCAGAAGAGATTCATGAGCGCTGGATTGTTTCGGGCTGTGAGTAGATCAAAAATAGCGCTAGTTTTTTTGACAGGTAAAGACATGCACTCATAAAAGTTGCTCTGCAAATAGTCTGCTTGCCAAACAATTCTGGAGCAAATGAGCATTTATTGTTGCATCGTTGAAACCTTGCGATTTCCTTACTTTTGTAAGGAGTTCCTCTCAGGAGATAGTAATGTACGCATTATACTTGTAGTACTGTCATCAGTGTTGTGTAATTGTATTTGTACTCAGACATTCTCTTTCGTAATCACGTGTGGCTGTTTCTCGTATCGTATGTATCGATTAGCGTGAAAGTAGTAGCGTTTGCGCGCCATTTATTCATCCCTCAAATATTTCAGTCAGGCTGTATCTTTCAGTTCTCTAGGGCATCTTTTGTTAAACTCTGCGAGCTTGGCAGAACACTTTGTCGGTTTAAGTACGTTCCGGCGGTACCGCCTTCATCAGAGACTGAAACGATCCGAGCGATTCGCTTAAGCGATTTTATTCATGACGGTCACTTGCTTTTCGAGGTTTGAGGAAGGTAGAGGAGTAGCAGAATCAGTAACGTCGCACTCATTAATTGTTAGGCCACCTACACAGCAGACATCACCGTCAATTTCCCCTTTGATTGACTCTTGAACTTCGTTCAAGGACATGAGGCCGCCCGCTTTGCCTTACCGCCGCAGAAGCTGACCAAGATCTTGAGTATCCCTCCTGGAAGAACGAGTTCGGAGACAGCAGTTAGATGTTTTCTTCTTTATGCAATTTGAGGCAATGTACGAAAGAATTGCGGTGCATATCACATCCCATGATATCAGCTTCCCTATATACACTCGCTATTCCATCTTACGACTGCTTTCGCTCGTCTATTTGTGGTTTGGTACACCCAGGCTTAGGACTTTCAGTTCTTTATCCAAAGTGGTTACCGTCTGCGACATTGTGGGATGTGACAGAATCTTTTTCATTCGCTGTTCTCATTGTGAGCGACTTCTCTGTTTTGATCACTTTGTGTTAAAATATCACATTTGCTTATGAGTTAGTAAGGTCATCTTTTTCATGTTACTATCGAATGAACGAAAATAGTCCATACTAGGAATAGAGCGCCTTGTTCACCGACTAAATTTGCGAAATGCATCCATAGCAACGCATAAACTGTTTTCTTGACTCAAAAGAAACATCTTCCGCAAAATGCAAAGCTTGTCTCCCTCAAAATCCAAATCTTCATCTCATGTTTTTGAAGCAAGACTCTTACTAGTAAGCCACGCCGCCTCTGAGATTGGATGAGCTTCGCGCGTGTTCATGCAAACTGTCCGACTGCCCTTGACTTCGTGGACCTTTAGGGTCGGTGGTGGAGATCGGATACGCTTCCTTGCAACCACTTCATCTGCAACCTGGACCTCTTGTGATCCAATTCGCTCTAATACAGTTGAAAATTTATTTAAATGAGCCTGTATAGCCTCAAATGCTTTGCCCCT